TGCATTCTATTGTAGAATGAGCCCAATTCTGCTCTCAAGTATGTATGCACAGATCCATTTGCTGCAAATTCATATCTGACAGCAAAAACTGGATCATGTGTGTGTTCAGCGGGGGTGAATTAAAAGGGTGGACCCATTTGCATTTCCTGATTTGGAAAGTTTTAAAATATTTTTATACAAAGATCCATTGAAAAATGACCTCCACAGACTTCTGGAAACTGGAAAATAAGAAGATCCCAGCACACACGTACGCCCACCTAAAACATTTTTTCCTGAATGTGCTTGTTGCTTCAACATTCCATGTGGTTAGAAAAACAAACCCCAGCAATAAGACTCTCCAAATCTGCTTTTATAAAATAAAATAGAACACACACTCCCCATGGTAAAATAGTATTTGCTAATGTGTTCCAAAAGCCACGCTAGGCAAAAGGCAGTAAAAGTATCTTTTTTTTTAAAAAAAAAAGGTTGAATATAAAACCTAGCAGATGTGGTGTTTTTTTTTCTGTTTCAGTGGAAAAGCACCTACTTATTGGAATGTATGGGAAACTCGAAAGAGACAATGTTTTCTCGCTTTGGGGAAGAATGAGGGAGAGCAGAAGATTTTACCTGTTGGCTTGATAATTTGTAAGTTTCCAAACATTCCACTGATGGTTGCTTATAAATGTGTAAAGTGGCAATGATCAATGGGTTCTTTGAAACATACACAGGTCATAAGCAATTATCACCATGGCTCTGCTTACAGTAAATAATGCAATTATGAGACAAGAGGGAAGAGGGAGAGAAAACGACTAGGGATAGTTCAAGGTTTTGATGCTATGGAGCCATATTTCTGGTTATTTCTTAGAAGTATGAGGGATAAATAAATTATTTTATACTTAGTGGTTGTCTTCCAGTCACATCCCTTTAAAACAACTTTTATGGCAAATCTATAAAAGTATTAGTTTACAACAAGTCTAATCGAAAGGGCTTAACGTGGCTGTCTTGCTTTAAACTTTTGAATCACAGCGGAATGCTATGTCCCCTCCCAGACCTGACAGCTGCCTACAAGTGAACTGCATTCATCTCTGCTTTGAAATATGGTGTGTTACCCTTGCGATTTTACTTCAGTTAAATGGAGGGTCTTTCTAAATCAGCAATGAAGTGGATGCATCTGACGGAGTAAATTTCTTATCCAAATCAGTGCGGAAGATTCTCAGATCGCTTTCCATAGCGTTCTCCAACAGCGCTCAACCTGCCCGAGGTTTGTCCTCGCCACAAACTACACCGTGAAAGCAAACCATTGGTTATCTCCTCGTCTTATGTGGCTCTTGCAAGACTTTCTTCCAGCCTACCTTTGAGCCGCTAATGAGTGAGCCCATGCAGAGTTCAGATCTGATGGGCTGGAACGCGCATACATGTCTTTCAGGTAGCTATCCAGGTGCTTGAAAACTTGGCCTCGAGGCAGATCCTAACCCCGGGTCTATTTTGTTTTTATACAGACGCAAGGTGGCACTTCCACCTTGGACAAAAATCACGGTGCGATATAAAACGGGGGGAGGAATCGGCGACTTTTCTTCGCTCTGACACGGATGATTTTTAAAAAATCGGTCGTTTGTGATCCTGGAATAATCTTCCCCGCTTTTTAAGGGCCCCCAAACACATGGTTTGTAGGAAGGGGAATCTCTCTTTCCTGGCAGGGGGCATTTGCTTTAGGTGCAGCATAAAAGTCCGTCTGGATTCATTTTCCAACCATTGTCGAGGGGTATGTAGAGAGAGAGGCCGAGGTGGGGAAAGGGGAGTATTTTTAAAGCGACTTAAAACACCTGGGCTCATATGTAATCTATTGGAGCGGAAATCGTTAAGGCAGCAGGTAGCTAGTAGTAGTCAGATAGTAGAAGCAACGTACTGGGGCCGCTTATAATAAAGAAACCTACGTGAGATCTCCTCACCTGTTGTTTTGATCCCACCGGGTGGGTGGAGGCGAGGGGGCCGAAGGAAATAGCCACAAACAGTTGCCTTGATCAGTAAGAAAAGCTTTAAACAGGGGCTCTGCATGGCATCGTTGGCACATGCGGTTCCGACCACCGAGAAATGGAGCAGCACAGACCGGGGTGCGCACAAAATCAGGGGTTCTCCTGCTGTCTGCTCTGAGTCACTCCCCATCCTCCCTCTTGCTAAATTGGCAACCGCCCCGCGCCTTGTCTGTCCCCGGATCGCTTGGGCTGCGGTTGCAAACTATCAGTTACCTGCTGCTAAAACTCCCGCTCCGGTGGCCAGCCGGAAAGGTCCCTTAGCAAACCGTTTGGTTTTAAACGCGTTTTTATCTTCTTGCAAGAAGACAATGAACCCTTGCTGGAGGTTGCCTTCCACAAGGCACGTTTTAAAATGGTGCGTTCTCTTTTGCCTTATTTGATGTCCTTGCCCTATGTGTGTGAAATGAACGCGCCTCGCAAACGGCTGCGTTCAAACTGCAAATTAAACCCTGTTTACACGGCTATGAATCCGGAGTCACTCCCGATTAAATGAACGGCGGTGTCCTAGGGTTACACCAGGGGGGTGAGCTGATTGTGGCAGAAACTGTGTTTAAAAACACGGTGCCCGGGTGGTTTTTTAAAAGAATTAAAACAAACAAACCTCAGAGTATACAAAAGATCTAAACTCTAGGGGTAGGGGCACCCTAAAATCTTCTTATGGGAGGGAGGGCTTGGATTACCTCACAGCGCCACCGCAAACCTGACATGCCTCCTCGAAAAAAGCACGAAGATTTAAGTGCGGCTACATCTGAAAGTCCCTTCCCTCCCCAAGTGGGACCCGTAGGCAGACTGTTAACTTGGCATTGGAAGGAAAGGGACCTAGGTGGGTGGGAAGGCAGTGAGTTGGGGAGGGGCCCTTGCATTTGTTCCCGGAGTGCCAAATTTTGGTGGCAGCTGTTGGGGGCAAAGAGGATGACCTGAGTCGGCGCCCTCTGACCCTGCTGTGAATCCTTAAAAGCCAGACTCCCCTCGGGGACTGTGGCACACGATCCCCCATTGTCCTGAAAACTGGCACGTTACCTCCAGCTCCGGGCTCGCTCTGCCTCACACGCTGAGCGAGCCAGCGAACTTTCCACCACCAAGACTTTGTAACCCATTAAGATTCATTGAATAAGCATTTTAAGGGGGCCTGGTCGGATTCACTTTTACCACATGACAGAGGCAGCGAGGCGCTTGGAGCAGGTTGGCGCACCAAGTATGGAAAAGCTCCGTTCCCGTCCCTATTGATATCAACCAGGATGAGAACACGTGGGGTTCTTCCAGCTCAGCTGTAGGAATAAATTCGGGGGCAAGTTACATTCGATTCACAGAGCTAACGATACAAATAAAAAAGCATTTCCAGTCGTACAAAGAAATAGTTCTTAGAGCAGGAAAGACACATTGGATTCAATGGGCGGACATAATTTGCCTGGTATGGATTAATCACACGCTGCCGCCTGTAAATCTAGTTTGAATATTCTTGTTTTCTCTCGTTGGTTTAAATGAGCTCACCTCATTTCAAAAACAAACAATTGCCTTCGCAGCTGAGAAATTGTATCAAAAGAGCCTCGCATCACACACCCCAGGAATGTTTGTTTACAAAATATATTGTTGTGAACCCCGGAACAGAAACCTGGCCACATTGGATCAGACAACTGGTCCAGCAAGCCTCGTATTCTGTCTTCGACAGTGGCCAATGCCAGGTGCTTCAAAGGGAATGACATAACTGATTGCTGCTTTTCCTTTTGCTCAACTGACAAATCGCTCAATGCATATTTATCAATTCAGGGGGAAAGAGAGGTTAGCGTGGTAAATAGTTTTGAACAGAGATCGCGTGGAGATTTATAGTTCATCTAATACCATGTATGTCACGCATGTAGGCAGAATAATTTAGAGTACCCTCTTCGCCCCCAATCGTGTTTGAATTAAATATGCTTTTTTTCGGATGAAAAGATTTAAATGTATTTTTTAAGATAAACTCTTTTATACTAATTATTCAAAACGTAGTCGAAAGCCAGGCACTTAAGCTAGGCTTTGGATTGAAAAGAAATTTTGTTTCTCCCCCAACCCTAAAGCAGGTTAAAGAGGGGTCTCTAAATAATGAGGAAAGAAAATCCAGGCGCTGTCCCTTTAACTACGGAACATCTGATTCCTTCATCTGGCAGATGGTCTTTGAGCACAGATTTGCATTCATTGTCTTGAAATCTGTTTTCGCGTTGGTGTTATATAGATTTCAGGGACAGATCTATGCACAGATCAGAACACAAAAGGGCCACGAAGAAAATAACACCAAGCCAGAATGATTTTTTTTTAAGTAGGAAAACCCCTCCTGAAAATAGCGGTCTCCTTTCAGCGGTGACCATTTTTTTTTTGCTTAGAGGGAACGAAATAAAAAGTTTTAAGGGCAGCTTTCAGAGCCCTTGTGTAGTGTGAAGTTGTGGGTGCGTTTTATGGGTTGGAAATGTATGGAGCTCCTTCTCCCTCGCGGATGTGCGCACAATCTGTTATTTGACGCCTATAAAGAGCCCCCTATCTTGCCCCCAGAGCCTAGGTGGGTTGGAATGGATCCTGTTTAGTTTTCGCTGAGAATTTGTCTAACAGCGCTCCTAAAGTCAGAGCACGATACATTTCAGGTGTTAAAAAAAGATATTTGTTTATTTGCTTTGTTTGACAAAACTCATTGAAATCTGACGGCAGCAGCACTTACTAAACAGCCCCTGGAACAATTTCTTGAAAAGTACCTTAAGTGGCTACCATCTGAGGTTAACAAACTGCAAGGGAAGGATGTTGGTAAGCAACTTATTTAACAATCAGAAAAGTCTGATTACTGTTGCATTTCTACCCTCTCCCCCTCTCCTATTGGCAATTGTTGGGTAGCCAGGAGCGGAGGTTAGTGTATCTCTGCTCTAGAATTGTCGGCAATCCTCCAATCGGGTGCGTCTATGCAAATACCACCCCCCTAATATGGAACTATGCCCCGCCCCCTTCCTAGTATGTTTTCTCCTATTGCTGTAACCCATTGATGGTGACTAGCTTGGAGAAGTATCCGGACTTCCTCAGTCCAGTGTGTAATCAGACTCTTTAGCTCCTTTTCTTCCTTTCTTTCACGTTTTATCCCGATTCTTTTTTTTTTTTTTGGATTAAGCAGCAACCAGCCCTCTTCCCTGTGTCTTTGAGAAACAGGTGACGCTGGTTACCAGCGGGTAGTTTTTGGATGCCCTCTCCTCTCCGGCTTTGAAGGATGATAGTCCCGGGCGAGCCTGCATGACTTTCCTTTGCAAAAAGGGGGGAAAAAAACTTTGCGTGTGTGGAAGACGTTTAACAACTCGCGTAGCATTTCAGAGCAGAAGAAGTGGGTTTTAAAGCGGAACTTTGCCACTGTCTGGGGATTGGTGTGTGTGCTAATTTCGAAGGCTGCTGCTGCTGCTGCTGTTTTCCCCCCTCCCCAAGAAACTGTCGTCAGTTGGAATAGACTTCTTAAATGTTTGGGATTCAAGACACTTTAGGAAGAGGACCGATTCTGAAAGATAAATCTCTAGCCTCTGAAATGGATTCCGTCAGGTCCTGGGTCAGAAACGTTGGGGTTGTGGATGCAAACGTAGCGGCGCAAAGGTAAATCCCAGCGACTTGTGTTTTCCCCCTTTTGAAACCTCCCTTTCCTCCCGCTGTTGTGCAGACTCGCGACTGAATTGATTTCCCTCCCCTCCTCCCCCACAGCCAGTGGAAATCCAAGAGGGCAAAGCGCTAGCTAGGGACAAGCACACACAGCAGAGGAAGTCGGAGCGAGGAGAATTTTTTCCCCCTGCCTGCTTCGGGGAGGGGAAGGGAGGCGCGCAGAGCCCTGCGAGCGAATAGTGACCGTTCGGAGGCTTGTATGCCCGAAGGGGGATGCTATTCAGCGCCACCTTCATTGCACGGTTCAAAATCAGCTGACTTTCCTTGGTCCCAGGGCGTGCTTTGTACCGCTAACGCCACCGTCCTTCCCTCCTAGCCCCTCGACCCACTCAGGCTAAATCCACGCGAGGAGGCAGAAAGCGAGCCCAGCTCGGGTTTGAGCCAGGGGGGAGAAGGGCAGAGACCGGGATCTAGCAGCTAGGAATGATCTATGCAGAGTCCTTGATCCTACTTTACTAACTGTTTAGTAACAGCGCCGTTTAGACCGCAGGGAACTTAAAACCGGGCCGGCTGCAAAAGAAGACGCATTTTTGCTTCAATTTGGGGTCCCTAATCTTGATTGCCAATAGACAAACCCGGGTGCCACGTTCTCTTCGCTGTCGACCTCCTCTCCTTGCTATCTTCTCTCCAGTGGCTCTTTTTTTTTACGGAGGGGAGAGCGAATCAGACCCCCTTCCCTAAATAAAATGTGCGCCCCATTCTGCAGGTATCTCTTTAGAACGCCTTCGGGCACATACGTATGGGACAGGGCTGGATCGACCCGAAAAGAAAGTTGAGGACAACTTGAGGGTCAGGCAATCAGCTTTGCACACAGCTCCTCTGGTTTAGGAGCTAATATACAAATCGGAGACAGACCTCTATGCCCCCAGTCAGATCAATCTGGTCTCTATGGAAGATCTTCCAAGCAGCACCAGAGAAGATATTAAAAGGGGGGGGGGGGATTATTTTATAAACAATGAATGTTGGTGGATGGTTTAATTTAGATGGAGGGGAATAAAAATACTTTTCAACATTCTTGGGAGGGAAACCGAAAGTAAAACAAATGTTATAAGCGTTGTAAGAAATCGCCAATTCACCGGAGCTCATAGCTCGGTGTTCGCATTGGGACATCGCTAACCATCCTAGATGTCTTGTAAAAAGCCAGCGCTTCTTAAATTCAAGATGATGAAAAAAAATCAAATTATTAAACTGGCCGGGGACCTGTCCAATTGGACATTGTACCTGTCCAATTGGAAATGGAAATAAGGGGGTTGCTGGAGGATATTGGTAGCTTTCCAGAGAGACAAATAAATACTTTTCTCAAATATGTGAAGCAATAATATTGGATGAGCTGATTTCAGGAAAGTAAGAGTTCACAAAGATGCTATCTATGGGAACCCTATACACCTATGTGTCTTCTGTGCGCTCCATACACATCCAACAAAAGAAAAGAGGTGGAACCAATTCTGCTAAAAAACCCGAACCCTGAGATTTAGAATTTCTTTTGCATGAAGTGGTTCTGAATAAATCAAACTTTGTAAATCCGTGTAAGAAATCACCCTACGCAGAACGTGTTACAGAAAGCATGCCTTCTGTGTTTAAATGACATGTATGTAATCCGCCAAACCGCGCTGAGAAGACGCACAAGTTGATTCAAGTGGATCAGTGACTATACAAATACAAATGTGTTAGAAACTTCGCTGCTAAGGGAAGTAGACACACTTCTTGAAACCAGTTGCCTTTCCTTCCCCCTCAGTACAGACACCTACTTGGGGAAAGATTTTAAGATCATTTGACCTGGGCTAAAGGAAAAGTGAACTCAGCTGGAAATGTATCGTTTTCAGAACCTTTAGCTTATTATATTACACATGCACACACACACGCCTTGTGTTGTACCCAAAGAATGAGTTAGGAATCAAGGCATTAGGAGGGAAAATGTTAATAATCCATAATAAAGTTTTCAAACTCTCACATTTGGGAGAATAAAGTTCTTCATGTAGCTGCTAGCAAATTCAAGCATGCTCCATTTTAATTGTATTTAATTTTTTTAATCGAAAGTGATGCGAGCGCACAAATTGTGGCGAGGAAAGTAACAAAATCAAAGTCATTAGTAACAATTGGCTGTTAATAACCCCGTGCGCCACAAAGACGGGAGAATCCTTTCCCCTCTCTCTAATAATTTTCTGCGCTTATTTTTTTATTACTATGCAACCTTTTAATTCGTCTGTTTCTCTCCCCTCCTTCCCCAATTCCATCTGTTTCTTCCACAGCGGAGTAGCTTTGTCCAGAGCCCACTTTGAAAAGCAACCACCTTCCAACTTGAGGAAATCCAATTTCTTTCATTTTGTCCTGGCTCTCTACGACAGGCAGGGGCAGCCGGTGGAAATAGAGAGGACAGCTTTTGTGGACTTCGTAGAAAATGATAAAGTAAGACTCGCCTATCTGGGGTGTTTTTTTTCTGTCTTCCTTTCCCAAATTCACCGTCGGCGCCCCCTAACTCCGCCACTCGGCTCACCCCTTTTAGAACCTGGCCTTGTAAAGTCCTGTCATTCTCCGCCATTCTTTCCGTACCTAAATAATAACACTTAGTCGTGTGTTCATGGACTTATCAGCAAGGCAACCCAGCCCCCTGTTCTCAACATTCTCTCTTCCTTCCCTGTTATTAACAAGGCTTGTCAATTTCTGCCGCCCCGAAAAATACAAGTGGCATTTCATACAGCCACTTAAAACAAAATAGAATAAAATAACGCAGGGGGGTCCAATACATTCTATTTTTGCATACGCCAGATCGTCCAGGTTTTACGAGTGCTCTCAGCGACCTGGAAGGGCGAGCTGTGATTTGTCATATTATCCGCTAAGCCTGATCTTTTGAGGCTCCAAAGTCACTGACTGGGCTTCGGAAACATTTGCTCTTGAGTTTTAAAGATCCAGGTATTAAGCTGTTGGAAACCTTCCTTTCCTCCAAACTATGCCTGGTGTTAGTTTAGTGACGGAGAAGGGTTTTTAATTATGAAGGACGACATGAATTATGGTCCTCTGATAAATTACAGTCCCAGAAATGTCCTGGAAACACCACCTTCAGGAAATAAATACAGCGACTTTTTGTAAAACGACTTCATTCTTTTGCGCGTACAATTGGGTTAAAAACAAACAAGCACGTGCCCTCGTCGGTCTGCCCAGAAGCTTGCTTCGCATTTGCGAGTTCCCCCGCAAAGGGCAGAGCGTTGTAGGGAATCAGGTTGGGAGCTTTCGAGCAAGTGGAAAAGTTTCTGTAACTGCCACAGAAAGGGAAGTCTGTCCCGGGTCACGCGGAAGGTTAATTTCTCCCCGTCAGTGGACGGCCCCCCTCTTCCCCCAAGATCTTAATAAACTTTCTGGTCACAACCATTCATGGTTTGCAAGCGGGCTGCTTTTGTGCGGGCACCGCACCGAGCACATTTTGTTGACTCTTTTTTTTCCAGGAGCAGGGCAATGAAAAGACCAACAACGGCACACACTACAAACTTCAGCTCCTGTACAGCAATGGTAAGTCACCTACGAAAGGCAGCGGGCCAGGGGCGCAGGGGATGGGAGCGAAGAAGCCGCGATAAAGTTTTAGAGAGCGCAGAGATAAAATACAGGGAAAGTTCCTCCCTCCCCCCGCCTGTCTCGTTCAGAAGCCGAAATCCCCACACGGGTAGCCGCTTTTCCGGGCTGGCCAGCCTTTAGTAAGCCCGGGATTTGAAGACCAGCAGCCTTAAACTTGAAGCGATGCTTGATAGGAATAAAAAGAAAATGGAGAAGTTACAGAGTGGCGTAGATAAGTAGGGGCTTCAATCTCTGTAACGCCTGGATTTCCTGTGTCTTCCCATTGTCTCCTTAGGTGTCAGAACTGAACAAGATCTGTTTGTCAGGCTCATCGATTCAGTTACTAAACAGGTGAGCTGAGCCCGGCTTTGTGTTGCACAATCTCCGCTTCTTCATTCCCTTTTCACTCCGCGCATTGTCCAACCCCGAATTATTTCCCCCTTCCGAGTGTCTGATTTTGCGCCTTAATTTCCAGTGCATCTGGAAAACAATACTCTTCCTTCCCCCAGTGATCCTGGGATGTTAACAATCTTGAAGTGACACTGGGTTACATGCATGTCTCCTATCTTGTGCAAAAAAGACTGTGCAAGACTGTTTTGCACTTTTAAAAACCTGAATATCGCAAGTCACAGTGTTTTGCACTTTTAAAAACCTGAATATTACAAGAAACAGACAAACCCCCAAACCCCTTCACCTACTAATGTCCCTGTTTTTCATAGCCCATCACTTATGAAGGACAGAACAAGAATCCAGAAATGTGCAGAGTTCTGCTTACTCACGAAGTCATGTGCAGGTAAGAGCATTTTATTATTGGTGCAATAGGATGTATTCCGTTCATAATAGTAAACTTGCTTCCCAAGGTGCTAAAAGTGGTTTTCTATATAAGTTGTAGATATGATCAGTTTTGTTTTTGTGGTGGGGACCCTCTTCCAAGAGAAGAATTTCTCTTTGCATGCGTACAATATTTGGTTTGGGTTCCATGCCAACTTATTTAGTACTACAGATCTGGAAATCCTTCCTGAGTGAACTGCAGTAGTTTGCTCTATTTTGCACTGAGTATGGACAACAAAATGAAAGGGCCCATAATTCCCAATTTTGTATTTCTGTAAGCTTTTCCCAAGGTGCCTTTCTAAAAGGTTCCTATCAATTTCCAGAGTCTGCCTGAAAATTAGAAAGAGTTCTTGATTTATATTTTTCCAGGTTACATGCTTTAATATTATCAATTAATTGAATATAATTAATGCCCTTTAGTTCTGTCCCAAAAAATCTATCTTTGACATATTTTTTTGTCACAAGCAACGCTTATGGAACTTCTATTTTAGTAAAATAGACAGAAATTACAGATGTTAAAATTACATTTTAAAGGATATTTTTAATAGCATTTGTGGATGTCTTTAGGTACATGTGTCTTATGTATGTACATCTTGCTTCCAGTGCAACTGATTATTTTGTCCTGCTCAAGTGATTACTATTTTTGATACATCTCATAATGCAAACAGTCAAAGGCCTTATATTAAAATGTGTTAAATTGTGCACAGAATGCTCTTTCATCAAATGAAAGGCAAACCAAACTTTGTCCTTTATTAAACACATTTGATATTTATTGTATTAGTATTTTTTTTAAAAAAGCTCTTGGATCGAATGTTACTTGTCAGGATCACTGGAACAATTTTTATAGTGGGGGTGCTGTGATCCTTTGAATCAAACTGTAAATTATGTATATTAATGGGAACTACTTCATGCCCCCCCTTCCATCCGTAGTTCCAGCACCTAGGCGGCATGTTTTAGAAAGCACATTGCACTAATAAGTTTAAATATTGCCTTCTAAGTTCATGACATAGTAAAAGCAATTGAATAGAATAGACTTTTTTGTTGAGGTGGAAGTAGTATTCACATTTTTCAAAAGGTAACGGAATAATTGGTGTACCTGGAAAAAGTGCAATAAGGGTGAAGTATGCAAAACGGTGTGTGTGTGTGCATTTGAGTTCATGCATGCAAAACTTAGCTTTTGTATGTCACCCTCATGAACTGAGTAACTGTGTACTGTGTACTGTTTGTTACTTCTGAACATTGGAAATAGTACTTGCATAGACATGTGTGTTTGTATGTGTGATACTCAATGTGCCTTTTGTGTCCTTACGTAACAAGCAATTTACTCTGCCTATGTGTATATTAAAGAAGAGTGAAGTGGGGCATATTTTTTGGTTTCTCCAAAATTTACATATTTATTTTAATATATATGCTATTCCCTGTTTCTGAAAGGCTTGACTTATCCATACTTAGATAATCATTGGAGAAGCAAAATCGCTGGATTTCTATACACTAGGGTCTCTATTTGAAATAATAAAATGACATCT